GAAACCCACGCCAACATGGGGAGAACATGTAAACTCCACACAGAAATGCCAACTCAGCTGGGGCTCGAACCAGCGACCTTCTTGCTGTGAGGCGATCGTGCTACCCACAATGCCAAAAAATGTTAATTCTCTCATCATTTCCTCCCCTTAAACTTTTTTGTGAAAAAAAAAAGAAAATTATAAAACGATATTTTCTATTTTGCACAGAAAATCTATGAGCGAACTAAGGTCAAATCAAAAGTTTAAGATTTTTAGGTGAAATCTTGATTAAATGTGATTTCTCCAGTTTAAAGTATCAGTGAATATCTGTGACTTTAACTCACCTGCATTGGTACCATTAATGTTTAACAAAGACATTTTGACCAGACATTCAGCTTCTTTCTCTTGCAGATGCAACACTATCCAACACTCAGGATGAACTGTCTTCACCTGGAAAACACGTGTAAATGCATGCAAGCTGTAACCACTCTTTTGAAATGCACTTTAGATTTTAAGGTACTGAATTTGACTTACCCCTTCACATGTAACCGTAAAAGTCCAGATCATGAAGGCATGATAAAAGTTCATGACGTTTCTTCTCACAACGACACAATTCAAGTCTTAGATAATAACTCTCAGTCTAAAGTAACTGAGTAAGTTTGTTGACTCATAAGATGTAGCCTTCTCATCTATCTCTACGACCTGTGTGATGTAGCATATGATGAGATATACCCAGATGGTACAGCCTACTTTCTGGGGCCCTTCTGACCTCACACTGTTAGTGTCATTGTTTTAAAACAAAACTTCAAAATATCAGCTGAAATAATGTTTCTTTCCATCTGTACAATGATAACATTCTACATCTAACAAGGCATTCATCCATTTAACTGCTTGCATCACAGCACTAGGGACATTAAATGCATCTTTTAACCAGCACCATTTACTGCATGAGTGAACTTAAATCACTTCTTCTGAGTTAAATGGATGACATTACTTTAGAGGCATGCAAATGACCTTAGCTACACGTTTTAATTACATTTATAAATTGTATTAAATTAGAATTCTAATGCAGTTTGTGTCTTTGGGGGGATTTGGGATTTAATTTATTAACTGATTGTCTGTTACTGCATGAACATCCATAATGTTTTGTATGGTGTAGATGGGCCATACTCTATGTCACACCCTGTGCATCTATTTTTAAAGCATGTCTTTTCCCTAAAGAGCTGAGGTTTGTGGAGGCTGAAAGCAAACAATCATAAGCTGAAACATAGTCATACAATATTCAGAGACAGAGATGACATCAGAACTGGATTTACGACTTGTACACTACAAGTACACAAGGGCTGGATCCGAAACCGACTCTATACCCCTAATTCAGCGGTATAGAGTCACAATCTTGTACCCAAAGATCTACCTTCATGCAGAGTTCAGCTGCAAACATAATCAAACATGTCTGTCTTTGATTACCAAGGCACCCCTGCCTTAAATAGTCTACAGGTGCATCCCAAATCGCATATTTCTGCATGATTCCAGTGTGGAATGATGGACACTTCACAACCTCAACGACTGCACATAGAGGAAGGAGTGGAGCTTTCGGGTGCACATGTTGGATTACTTTATTTATTTTGAATTGTGAAAGCAAATGTTTCCGATGAGAGTGATTATAGCGCTACCCGGTGGTGAATGCGGTTATACTGATGGCAGGTATTATTTGGTAGTTTGGTCATTCATTTTGCTAATTTGGCAACCGTCAAACATCATCAGGGAAACAGTTTGAATTTCTGCTAAGTAAAGAAAAATATTAGTGCACCATTTGGGATGACAATACATACTATGCTGTTGAGTGTGTAAGTGCATAAGTATAGTGGATAAGAGCATAATGTGCCATTTGGGACGCAGCTTACTTTAAAGAAGCAACCATTTGTAGTGGTGTCTGAAACCATGGTGGACATTCTGAAGTGTACTCAATCAATCCCCAATGCACTGCGATAATGAGTGTACAACCAATGTACACTTTAGGGCTAGAGAATACCCATAATGCACTGTGACTAATTACGCAGCAAATTAAATCTCCACTTCTGACCACAAGGCATCCACAAAGAATCTTACCAAGTGTAAGTTTTTTAATAAACTATTATTTTATTGTTGTTAGCAACGCGGTGGCTTAGTGGTTAGCACTGTTACTTCACAGCATTTGAGTCCTAGCTGGGTCAGGAGGCATTTCTATGTGGAGTTGAATATCTAATCCATCTGAGGGATTTATCAACCTGCAAAGCACAAACAAAACGGTGTGCACTCAGTGCTCTGATTCACTCACTTGTTTCATTCACTGCTTTAAGTTGACTTACAGTTGATTTTTTCAACACATTTCTAAACATAACAGTTCTAATAACTCATCTCTAATAGCTGATTTATTTTATCTTTGTCATGATGACAGTAAATAATATTTGACTAGATATTTTTCAAGACACTTCTATACAGCTTAAAGTGACATTTAAAGGCTTAACTGGGTTAATTAGGTTAACTAGGCAGGTTAGGGTAATTAGGCAAATTATTGTATAATGATGGTTTGTTCTGTAGACTATCGAAAAAATATCTCGCTTAAAGGGGCTAATAATATTGACCTTAAAATGGCTTTTAAAAAATTAAAAACTGCTTTCATTCTAGCCGAAATAAAACAAATAAGTCTTTCTCCAGAAGAAAAAAATATTATAGGAAATACAGTGAAAATTTCCTTGCTTTGTTAAACATTATTTGGGAAATATTTTAAAAAGAAAAAAAATTAAAGGGGGGCTAATAATTCTGACTTCAACTGTATGCGGGAACAATGCGTGAGAGTATAGAGGATGATTTTAGGTACAGCTAAGAACATAGGGAAGCAATCAAGGCAAGTAATGAGGAGAGCGAAACACCCAATATTCAGTAATAGTTCACTCAAAACTGAAAATGTGGTCTTCATTTACTCCCCTTTAATTTGATCAAACCCATATGTGAGTCTCCTTCCTCTGTTTAACACAAAATATTATGGAATCATTGACTTCTGGGATTTGTGGAAGTCGATGGTCCTAAATTTACAATTTTGTGTGTGCTATCTTTTTAACAACCAAGGCAGACAATAGACAGGAAAGTGCATGGCAGATATTGTAACAAATGAAAAATCAAAGCCAACATGACATGAGCACACAGAGAGTGAACACTCAATCCATGTGTTCACTAGAAAAGACAAAATACGGATCTCCAAACCATGACGCCAAACTAGACAGATTAGCCTGGATCCAAACCACCATGTTCGAATAACTTAAACATGTAGACAAAAGAGTGCATGACTTGGTCTTGGTCAAAAATGCCCTCAAAACAAAAAGACAAAGACAAGACTCAAGCTTTGCTGGAAGGGTACCAGCATCCATAGTGAGAGAACTGGAGGGTAAATGAACGCAAGAGCCATATTCAATAGTTATGTCTAGTCACTTCTCAGTTCTCAATTACCATGTCTCAGTTAAAGCTGGCATAAAACATATATTGCAATGGTCTTTTTTTCTGTGTATTGATGTATATATCAATGAGCCAAAAATGTTATGACTGCTCGTCTAAATATGCTGTTGGTCCTCCACATGCTGCCAAAATTATGTTGATTGACCAAGGCATGAGCTCTACAATATCCCAGAGGAATATATGTAGTAACTGACACAACACAGCAGATCCTACAAATCCTGTTGTTGCCATGGTTTTAGCCTGTTGGTGCAGCACATCTTAAAGTTCCTCAAATGGATTGAGATCTTGGGAACTGTAAGGCCAGCGGAGTACCATGAACTCTGTATCATGTTCTTCAAACACTTCTGTGCAGGGAATGCCATTGTTTTGAAGGAGTGTGCATAGTTGGTAGATAGCACATGTTACTTTTTTCTCACATGAATTGCTGGATCCATTGTTTAGTTATGACACTCACACACCCACTGCCGGCACATTTAGTGGTAGACAGGGAACATTATAGGTACTGGAAGAAGGATGCATGGTCTTTTGAATCTCTTTTTTGACTTCACATGCACGGCTGTGTACATGGGCTCCGTTTACTTGGAGAAGGGATGGAACTAGAATGCAGTGTGGGATTTCAACATGCCAGTGGAGGCAGTGTGATGCTCTGGGAAAGTTCTGCTGGGAAACCTTGGGTCCAGACATGCATGTGGACATGAATTCAGCATTTGTTGTACCTAAACATTGTTCCACAGCAGGCTAAAGAAAGCTTCATGACACTGGTGTTCTCTTGTGACCTCTTTCAAAGCACGTTGCAGATTTTTCAGGAATAGTTTAAAGAGCACAATTATGAATTTAAGGTTTTGCTTAAGTCTCAGTATGAATGGGCTGAGTTGTTTCAGTTTCATCCACAGAGAATCCACCTAACTACCTACAAAACTTGAAGAATCCTCCATACATCAACAGCACATTAGGCAGGCAGTTATACTGTTTTGTTGCATCACTTTATGTTGATGATTTCACATTATTAGAAGATAATTCAGAAGTTCAGAGTGTGTATAAGATTTTCTTTTGTGAAGGTTCTCAGGGTAAAAAATGTTTTGTAAAGGCGACGCAGTTGTGATTGAGATGTCATTGTTTGCGGGTTACAGTTAAGCTTCAACATTTGTGTCTATTAAAAGCATGCCTGTGAACAGAATCCCTTCTTGTATTGCTGTCATCCTTACTTGTGGTTAAGGATCACTATGAGGATGACTTTGATGATGTTGTCACATAACAGAATATGTTTTGCACATCTACCCAACCATTGAGCTTATTGTTAATACAAAAATTCACTTGAGAGATTTCAGAGAAGAATATGTGTGATGATGCTCTATACAGATGAGAAAATGTACGTGAAGTGGGAAGGACTTTGTATTCTGAGAAGTTTATTAGATGCACTGGAGTCAGTGCATTCTTTCCTATTTTAGAAATGTGAGTAATGTTGGGAGGTGCATCAGATTTTGGAAAACAGACCTGGGTATATAACATTGAGGGCTTCAGTGCTCATTGTTTAACAGCAGTCAAATATTGTCAGCCTGATTTGTGATCACACCATTATGGCTTCACCAAAACAAGCACCCAAAAAAGAAGATCTAAAGGAAGATCCAGCTCCAGGAGCAAAAGATCCAGCATCAGCTGCTTCTTCACAAAATTTAACACCAGAGTCAGCTACAAAAGCTGAAAAAGACAATTCTGCACCTGATCTAGACCCAGTCCAATCTCCAAATCCAGTGAATAATGCAGCTGTAGTAAGTTTCTTTTTCTTTATTTTTTTATTTTGTGCTATTTAATTTTACTTGGTCTGATGTGAGCGTTCATTAACACTGCAAGATTATTAACCTTTTTTTTTTATTATCATTTAGCTAATTAATAATTTGAAAAGTTCAAATAAGGCACTACAAGTTATTAAAGTTTTTAAAACAGTGGGAAAATATAAAGATTTAATACTGAAAATGATGTAAATCACAGTAAACTTTGTAAATCGTTAAATGTATGGTGATTATGTATGATTAAAATTTTTTTTTTTTTTTAGAAAAAAAGAGAAATATAATTGAAACCTAAACCCTTTTTTTAATGTATGAACCACAGCTAAATTCAAAGCTGTGTTGCTTTTTTATTGACCTGACCCCCCACACCACCGAAGTTTTGTCTTCGACTCAAAGATTCAATATCAGAAAATCTATTTTTAAACATTTCTGCCTAGAAAATAATGCTCAGACAAAGTGGATCTCTAATTTGAATATTAATGTGCCCAACAAAGACATCATTAATTCTAATTTTCTAATTTCTGGATTACTAATATTGATTGTGCCACAGGTTTTGATAAGCAGCATATTTGGGCATGCACAGAACAATACTACTTCATGGCATGATTCTCGTTGATGTCCTTTACATGGATCTACACACACCTGCCACTAAGATCTGAGGTTGTTCCACTACACTTCCTAAGTTAGACTCTCCAGGGATACAGATATGTGCGATATGATCTCATAAACAGACTGTACTTTGAGGGGAGATTATCGTTGGTGCCAGGAAAAATGGCAGCAGAACAGCTGCTCTAGACTGTTCCTTAACATACTGTATGACACTAACATCTGTGCAGTAAAAACATGTCAAGAATGTATTTCAAGTCCACATTTACCTATAGGCTACTATTATATTTAACTTATAATCAATTATATTGGTGCAAATACCATTTATTAAAACTTTGTTCTGGGTTTCAGGTACATTTCAATGCTCAACAGCTTGAAGGTAAGGGTCAGTTTAAAAGGTCATCTGATCAACTCGGCTTTAAAGAATGAATTTTTTTTCTTAATGTTATTTTTTTACAGAGTTTAAAGAGGCTTTTCAGCTGTTTGCCAGGTCTCCCTCAGGCATTTCACTCGCACAGTGTGGGGATGTGATGAGAGCTTTGGGGCAGAACCCAACCAATGCTGAAGTCTTGAATGTTCTAGGAAAACCAAAGCCTGAAGGTAGATTTACAGCATAAATGCGAAAGAGCAAATACTGCATGACCTTTAAGGACAAAAGGTTACATCAAATTTAAATGAGTCCCATTGGACCTTTCAGGAACAAACTAAGTAAAAGACTTAACACACATCTGTCAGAGGGATTAGTGAGGTGTTTGTTTTCACTAAAATCAAAGATGTCATCGAATGCAAAAAAATTCTCTGTGACATTTGCAAGTCATTCTTTGAATACTGAGATCAAATTAATCCTAGTCACAACGGCTCAGTAAGTCAAAGATCCACTTTAACTGCAGGAATGTGTTAGCACTCCTTAACAAGCAAAAAAAGGCCCATGGAGACAAAGGACACTGTTAACGTTTTATAACTGTCCTTGGCTTAAAGGTATAGTTCACCCAACATTTAACCAATATCTGCCTGCTGAACACAAAACAATACATTTAAACAAACGTTGGTTGCCAATTCTTCATCAGAAACCCCTGATTTCCATACACTCTCAGAAATAAAGGTAGAAGAGCTGTCACTGGGGTGGTTTATTTTTTAAAGGTACAAATTTGTGCTTAAAGGGTCATATTAATACCTAAAAAGAACAAGAATGTACCCCTTGAAATGTTTAGGTACTAATATATACCTTTGAGGTATGAATATATGCCCTTTAAGTACAAATATGTACGTTTTAAAAAGATACCACCCCAGTGACAGCTCTTTTACCTTTATTTCTGAGAGTGTATGGGCTGAAAAAGGAAATCAGTAGGTTCTGTCAACTGTTTGGTAACAAACAATCCACAGAATACCTTCTTTTGCGTTCAACGGATAAAAGAAAAAATCTATTCAGATATGGAACAAGTAGAGGACCAGTAAATTATGACAGAATCACCATTTTGGTTGAATTATTTGTTAAAGAGATATTTGCAGAATATTGATGCACTTGTTATTACCCTCTGGACGCTGGTGACCATTTGGTGGCATTTTTAGTGAACCCTAAAATAAGGTAGTTGATCCTTTCTGTGGTTTGTTCTTTCTTCATTAGGAAAGCAAGTGAATACAATGTTTTCATTTTTAATTATTGGTTGAACTATGAAATAGAGGAACATTTTTATGACATCAAATAAAATCTTTGAATCTGCTACAGTAATTGCTTCGATTGAATTTTGTCATTTAGAGATGGAATCCAAACTGATCGACTTTGAGACTTTCCTGCCTATGCTTCAACAAGTTTCAAAGTCTACCGAAAGTGGCTCATTTGAAGATTTTGTGGAGGGCCTTCGGGTCTTTGACAAAGAAGGCAATGGAACGGTCATGGGGGCTGAACTCCGCCATGTACTTGCAACTTTGGGTATGGAATAATTGGAGGGAAATGTCCTTATTCTATGAATGCTGAAAACATTGGCTCATTGGAACTCTGATTTTTTTAGGTGAGAGATTGTCTGAGGGTGAAGTGGATCAGTTGCTGGCAGGGCAGGAGGACACAAATGGTTGTATTAACTATGAAGGTAAGAACACCTCAAGACTTTACTGATAAAAATATTTACTATTAACGCTTCTTATATTAAAATTCTTCCTATTGTTCTTTCTCCATAAGCTTTTATTAAACATGTCATGGCTGGCTGAGAGATCATTTCTGGTAAGTTAATCTAAACAAGTAATTGCCAACTCTTGTTTACCACAAAATATTAGAAATTAATTCATTTTGCCCCATTTTCAAACCAATTTTCAACACAGATTTAGGTAAAATATGAATTCTGTTTACATTTTATACTTTTAACTCAAAGAGTTTGTCCATATTTTACCATTTGTAGAGTTTACATGTTTGCAGTTGCCTGGAAGAGAAGTGCTGATATTCCTATAGGAACAATAACATATTTTGCTAGTACAGTCCATTTTAGTCTTTAATTCATTTTGCACCTTTTCTGTTGGCCTATAGGTACAGTAGCAGATTTACAGGCATGTCAGCAGCGGTCATCTGAAGGTCATCTACAAGAATCGTCAATGAAACCGAGTTCTTTTAAAATATATTAAAATCATGTTCACATCAACCACCATCTTAAGCTGTTTTATATCAAGTACAAATTATCAGTGCAACAAAAAGAAGCAAAAATGCAAACTCTATAGAAGTCAGGATACCGTGATCTGCTTTACACTCGAATCTCAAAGAGAATCAACACAGCTGTCAGTGGATAAAACCTTGGCTTTGGTTGTGCTAGTGCACTGAACTTGCTCTAATCCTCAAATGTCAGGAACTTTTACCAGGCACATGTGATAAACCCAGACCCTGTATCACTGCACTGCTCTCAGTGCATTTTAAGCTCAATATTACTGTCACTGAAAGAGAACAACAGTGAGCTGTATTCACTTACAGCATTACATCCAGAAAAAAATGTGTTGAGTTTAATTTTCAGAAAGATCTGAGTACAAAGCTATTTGTGAGTGTTGTGGTAAATATTACATATATGAAATTAACTAATTACATAAAACAATACAATAAAATAAAAATGAATTGATAAGTAAACTGATATAACTATTCTGGCAAGATCAGGGCTGTCACAGTTTTTGGACAGCATTCTCTACATGACTACCCTTACTTAGACTCCCCAGAAAACTGAAATGTTGACATTCTGACATTACTGTACATGATTGAATTTGTCAATGATTGACTTACAGTGTTTAAATGAGCTAAATAAACATAAGTGTGATTCCAAGTCAAATCTTTTTTGTTAAGTGTCAATACATTTTGCCAACTGAACATGTTTTACATTCCTTTATAAACCTGTGCCAATACATTTATTCATTCATTTTCTTCAGGGGTCGCCACAGCGGAATAAACTACCAACTTATCCAGCAAATGTTTTACGCAGCGGATGCCCTGAAACACTCATACACTCTCACATGCACACACATACTGTATACACTATGGCCAGTAAAGTTTATTCAATTCCCCTATAGCGCATGTCTTTGGACTGTGGGGGAAACCAGAGCAGCAGGTGGAAACGCACGCCAACACAGGGTGGACATGCAAACTCCACGCAGAAATGCCAACTGACCCAGCCGAGGCTCGAACCAGCAACCTTCTTGCTGTGAGGCGACAATGCTAACCACTGAACCACTGTGTTGCCCTTGTGCCAATACAGTTTATTTAATTAAGTTTTCGAATGTATTTTTATTTTCCATTTTTCTTAAAATTAATGTTTGGTTTTACTTAAAGGTTATTCAACATTCAACATTCAACATTACAATCAAAAGTATTCAACATTGCATTCAAAAGTGAACAAATTTAACAACATTTGAATTGTGATGTACTGTAAACTATCACATTAATCTTGTGTCAATTAAGAGTGACTTGATGTGTCATTTAGAACTGCCTCTGCACCGCAACCAATCTGTTTTTAAATAATCAGGATTTTTAATATTTGTTTGTTTTGTTACATAAAAAAATTAACTGAGCAGGCTAAAACTGCTTAAAGTAAAATTTCCATATGATAATAATATGCATTTTGATTCAAATATATGAGCATTTTTATATAAATGCTGAAGTAAATTGCGGACAGATTTTCATTTCTTTTTATAAGCTGCATTGTTTCATCATGACTGTACTATTGAAGAACATCAGGAGTGACTGAAGGAATACCTTAATACTCATACAGGTGCAGATTTATAGTTGTATTAAGCAACTTAATTAAAATTAAAACTACACAAAATAAACACATCAAATGTAAACAAAACTGAAAATAACAGTAAAGTCCAGCTGACCTCCAGATGTTTCTACCTCTTTATAACTTGCCATAAGAATGTGCCTATTATAACCACCTGTGCTTAGAATTTTAACAAATTTAACATTTTATACAAACTTACAGCATGGGCTACTGTTAAAAACCATTGGTACTGCATGAGTCTTGCTTATCTCACAAAATTCACTCATGGCTTAGGGGTATTTGAATGGAAACAGCATAACTTATTGTATTTATTTAAAAATTGAAAACAACCTGAAATTAAACTCAAAATAAACTGATTAATTTACCAGATAAGACGAATAATATTGTGGATTTAAATCTGCATATATTAAAAAGTCTAATCTCAGATATTATCAGTTTTTTAAGCTTGTTGCATGACAGATAACCCATGAGATGGTTAAATAGAAACAAATATCACCGGATATGATATTTGTCCGCGAAGTGCATAAATTGAACCTGCGGTCTTCCCGTAATTTTTAGGCCTTGTCAAGATTGCGTGCCACTATTCCTTCGTTCCCCTCCGACGCCGGTTGATTGTGCTATGACAAGTTTTTACCGTGCAGGGCACTGAAATGATGTGGAACATAAAAATTAGGATGTTATTGATAGCACTGTTGATAAATTGGGAATTTGTAAAATCGACAATAGCCCATCTTAACAAAAACGATATAACTTTAGACACTGACCGAGCCAGTGAGTCTCTCAAAGCCAAGCAGCCTCCGGTAGATGTGGAAAGATTGCGATTGAGAGTCGACGATGCATATGAGGAATGTAAACGATATCGCAACGCTTCAGCGTCTTCAGGTGACCCGAACAAAGACTCAATGCCAAAATCCACGTTCCACTGCCATGCATGTTGGCCGGAACACAGTTTGGATGAAAAATTAAGGAACGAAGACTCAAGCCAAAGTGGATTGAATCCCCCGCAAAACGACGAATCTGAGGATCTTCTCAATGAGCCTGTGACCTGGAGGTATTTGAAAAGTAAGCCGAGTTTATTAAAATTGAGATAAATATGATTTTATATTCGCACATTCAGACCTTCCCCTTTATAATTTAATTTCAGAAAATATTATTTTGCAATTTCGAAGTAGGAAATATAGTATTAGTCTGCTATCATAGTTCAACATTGGTGCAAACGTTAATGTTATTTTGACGTCATACTTAAATAAGATTTCAGACCTTATATTTATAGTAACGTTAGCGTGGTAAACAATACAGGCACCCCGTCACAAGTTGTCACGGAACGAATGTGCTAATATAAAACCAACTTTAGCTACCTCAGTCTGATTAAAATATAGGTTGCGTACACGTTTGCTCAAATAATAACAAATGCACTTATTTCATCAAGGTCATCTGAGCAATTTGGATCGAGTCGTGGTGTCTGATGTCTACCAGCCAGTGTTTAACTGTAGTAAGGATATCCTTTGGATCAAGTTTGCCATGACCCGACACTCGAATCCACGCCTGATTGTCAGTAAGTACTTGAGAAAATTTATCACAAGCTCTATGGGCTAATATATAATGTCGATTTGAGAGTAGTTAGATATAAACAAAGTAACGTGATTAACGTTTTTTTGTTGTTGTTGTTATTTTTGTGCTTTTCCACCTCTACTTAAATGGTTCCTCAATGTTGTGTTTATTTGACAATAAAACAATTTGAAATGTATTTATTTATATTTGAAATATATCACACTTAATTTTGATGGTCCATTTGTTGAATTTAAGCAGTGTAGTCAAACACCAGCATATTGCTCCATTCTTAACTATGACACACATTCAGTATTAATCCACACGGAGGCAAAAGCTAAACTGTTCTGAACCTTGACTGCTGCACGTGTGTAGGAACAGCTGACGGTGGCCATAGCAACAACAAATGGCAGTGGAACACAAGCTCACAAACACAATGTTTAAATCTGTAAACAAAGCAGCACTATGAGGTGCCGTATAGGATTTAAATCAAACTTTGCTTATCAACACATACATAAAACACGTGTGTATACACCTATAAATTACTCGCATATACACCTATACTACTGGATGTTTAAAACAACATGGATGAAACTTGTGTATGTACATATAAACTTGACGCATGAATACACCCACATACACACGCACATACATATAAACTCGATCCTCACATAAACACTCACATTAACACACGCACATACATATAAACTTGCTGCATGCAAACACACCTATACACACTCGCATATACATATAAACTTGATCTATGCATATACACCCATAAACTCTCATATAAGAATATAAACTTGATGTGTGCATAAACACCCAAATGACACTTGTGCAAACATACAAAATAAAATTCACAAACATATATAGTTAGTTGTGTATATACATATATGCAAGTGATTTCATATGTGTGTGTGCATGAATTTTCACAGTAAAAGGAAGTTATTTCACTTTAAAAGGAAGTAGTTTAATTTCAACGTAAAAGTCCTTTGAGTGTAATGAACAAGATTATTATTTGTCATGAATCAGGTTATTGCAAACCTTAAGAAACAGAAATAATGTGATTAATAGAGGAACTACATCTGTTGAATTATGAAAATAGATTATGCTAATTCTAAAAAATAAATAAATAAAAAGGTAATGCAAAGGAATGCTCCTGCAAAATTAAAGGTTTATTATGCAATTAAATTATTGGAAATGTTATTATGGTTTAATAAATATAAGGTTGCTTAAGTAATCATTTTGAATAAAATATGTTTGTCTAATATTATTTTTTCATGTTTGTTTTATTATTGGTTTCACTATTCGTCAAGGGTTATGATACACACTTATGTCCAGTAGGGGGCAGGAATGCACTTAAGTGGGTTTTCCTGTCACCAATAAACAGGCTAATGCAGCAAAATGCTGGATGCCAGCTGCTGTAAAAATATAAGTAGTAGTTATTAAACACAAAAGGAGTGTCCAGATAATATATATAGCTTTTCCATGGGGGTTAACTTGACCAACATGATGAGCAGAGTCTTTTAATCAGCGTTTTTTTTTTTTTTTTTTTTTTTTTTTTTTTTTTTTTGTATATGCTGAATAATTAACAGTCAAAATGATACCAAAATCTTGCAATTTTGACACCCACATTGTAAATACATATAAAAAGCATAATAATTATAAAAATGTAAAAAACAAAACAAGAAGACTATAGGCAACATTAACATTTTCAATAGAATAGAGGAGTTTAGCTTGAGTTTACATTTATATTTATAATTCTGGTTGCTTTTTGAACGTCCTTTAGGGGTTCTATCTGTCCATTTATATTTGTGCATGTAATTACCTAATTAAATAAAAAGGTTTTAAATAAAAATATTTCTTATTTTGAATAGTCTATTTATATAGACTAATATTTGAAATAACATATGTTCATAATTTAACATATTTAATCCCTCTATTAATCACATTATTTCTATTTCATAAGCTTTGCAATAACCAGATTCGTGATAAACGTTTGTGAATTTTATTTATTTATTTATTTTTGTATGTTTGCGCGAGATGTTATAGGTGTGTTTGCATGCAGTGAGTTTGTGTATGTGCTCGTGTTGTTGAGGGTGTATATGCATAGACCAAGTAAATGCGAGTATGTATAGGTGTGTTTGCATGCTGCGAGTTTATATGTATGTGCATGTAAATGTGGGTATTTATGCGAGAATCGAGTTTATATGTATATGCGAGTGTGTATAAGTGTGTTTGCATGCAGCAAGTTTATATGTATGTGCGTGTGTTAATGTGAGTGTTTATGTGAGGATCGAGTTTATATGTATGTGCGTGTGTATGTGGTTGTATTCATGCGCCAAGTTTATATGTATATACACAAGTTTCATCCATGTTGTTTTGAACATCCAGTAGTATAGGTGTATATGCGAGTAATTTATAGGTGTATACACACGTGTTTTATGTATGTGTTGATAAGCAAAGTTTGATTTAAATCCTATACGGCACCTCATACAGCACACCTT